GGGGGAGTAATGTTAAATTTAAGAGTTAGTTCATAAATATAACAAGATCTCGCGAGGGCAAAGACTCCAATCAAGATGGCGCCGCCCAGCTAGAGATCACATTTGAAGTCGCCAGGGAAACTGCTAACTATCTGTGTGATAGTATATGTGACAAAAACGAGGTAGGTTGTTGGGGAAATGACGGTTAGACGTTAGTTTGGTTGAGAGTGCTGCTGTGTGCGCACGTTATCCTATATGTAACCTATATATATATAATAATAAACAACCTTGACTCAAGATATCATCGTTGAGTCATCTGGGCCATATTCCGATCTTACACAACCATGACATGTTGCAATTGAAGCCACCAAGTGAATTCCTGATGAAAGAGGTGTTATTGGAGTGTCTTGCTGATTCACAGTTATCCAATTTTGGATAAATCTCAGAAGTAGTCTACCTCTGGGAGGAGCAACATCCCATCAGTAGGGTCTGCCAGATACAACAAGATGTTCCGCTTTCACAAATCTGTCTTCAAGTGGGGATATCAACATCAGCTGGGAGTTGAACACAGAGATGATGTACTGGCTCCTCTGAGTGGGATACTAACATTAGCTCGGAGTTGAACACAGAGATGATGTATTGGCTCCTCTGAGTGGGGATACTAACATCAGCTGGGAGTTGAACACAGAGATGATGTACTGGCTCCTCTGAGTGGGATACTAACATTAGCTCGGAGTTGAACACAGAGATGATGTATTGGCTCCTCTGAGTGGGGATACTAACATCAGCTGGGAGTTGAACACAGAGATGATGTACTGGCTCCTCTGAGTGGGGATACCAACATTAGCTGGGAGTTGAACAGAGATGATGTACTGGCTCCTCTGAGTGGGGATACCAACATTAGCTGGGAGTTGAACACAGAGATGATGTACTGGCTCCTCTGAGTGGGGATACCAACATCAGCTGGGAGTTGAACAGAGATGATGTACTGGCTCCTCTGAGTGGGGATACCAACATCAGCTGGGAGTTGAACACAGAGATGATGTACTGGCCCCTCTGAGTGGGGATACCAACATCAGCTGGGAGTTAACACAGAGATGATGTACTGGCTCCTCTGAGTGGGGATACCAACATCAGCTGGGAGTTGAACACAGAGATGATGTACTGGCTCCTCTGAGTGGGGATACCAACATCAGCTGGGAGTTGAACAGAGATGATGTACTGGCTCCTCTGAGTGGGGATACCAACATCAGCTGGGAGTTGAACAGAGATGATGTACTGGCTCCTCTGAGTGGGGATACCAACATTAGCTGGGAGTTGAACACAGAGATGATGTACTGGCTCCTCTGAGTGGGGATACCAACATTAGCGGGGAGTTGAACACAGAGATGATGTACTGGCCCCTCTGAGTGGGGATACCAACATTAGCGGGGAGTTGAACACAGAGATGATGTACTGGCCCCTCTGAGTGGGGATACCAACATTAGCTGGGAGTTGAACACAGAGATGATGTACTGGCCCTTCTGAGTCGGGATACCAACATCAGCTGGGAGTTGAACACAGAGATGATGTACTGGCCCCTCTGAGTGGGGATACCAACATTGGCCGGGAGTTGAACACAGAGATGATGTACTGGCCCTTCTGAGTGGGGATACCAACATCAGCCGGGAGTTGAACACAGAGATGATGTACTGGCCCCTCTGAGTGGGGATACCAACATCAGCTTGGAGTTGAACACGGAGATGATGTACTGGCCCCTCTGAGTGGGGATACCAACATCAGCTGGGAGTTGAACACAGAGATGATGTACTGGCTCCTCTGAGTGGGGATACCAACATCAGCTGGGAGTTGAACACAGAGATGATGTACTGGCCCCTCTGAGTGGGGATACTAACATCAGCTGGGAGTTGAACACAGAGATGATGTACTGGCTCCTCTGAGTGGGGATACCAACATCAGCTGGGAGTTGAACACAGAGATGATGTACTGGCTCCTCTGAGTTGGGATACCAACATCAGCTGGGAGTTGAACACAGAGATGATGTACTGGCTCCTCTGAGTTGGGATACCAACATCAGCTGGGAGTTGAACAGAGATGATGTACTGGCTCCTCTGAGTGGGGATACCAACATCAGCTGGGAGTTGAACAGAGATGATGTACTGGCTCCTCTGAGTGGGGATACCAACATTAGCTGGGAGTTGAACACAGAGATGATGTACTGGCTCCTCTGAGTGGGGATACCAACATTAGCGGGGAGTTGAACACAGAGATGATGTACTGGCCCCTCTGAGTGGGGATACCAACATTAGCGGGGAGTTGAACACAGAGATGATGTACTGGCCCCTCTGAGTGGGGATACCAACATTAGCTGGGAGTTGAACACAGAGATGATGTACTGGCCCTTCTGAGTCGGGATACCAACATCAGCTGGGAGTTGAACACAGAGATGATGTACTGGCCCCTCTGAGTGGGGATACCAACATTGGCCGGGAGTTGAACACAGAGATGATGTACTGGCCCTTCTGAGTGGGGATACCAACATCAGCCGGGAGTTGAACACAGAGATGATGTACTGGCCCCTCTGAGTGGGGATACCAACATCAGCTTTGAGTTGAACACAGAGATGATGTACTGGCCCCTCTGAGTGGGGATACCAACATCAGCTGGGAGTTGAACACAGAGATGATGTACTGGCTCCTCTGAGTGGGGATACCAACATCAGCTGGGAGTTGAACACAGAGATGATGTACTGGCCCCTCTGAGTGGGGATACTAACATCAGCTGGGAGTTGAACACAGAGATGATGTACTGGCTCCTCTGAGTGGGGATACCAACATCAGCTGGGAGTTGAACACAGAGATGATGTACTGGCTCCTCTGAGTTGGGATACCAACATCAGCTGGGAGTTGAACACAGAGATGATGTACTGGCTCCTCTGAGTTGGGATACCAACATCAGCTGGGAGTTGAACACAGAGATGATGTACTGGCCCCTCTTAGTGGGGATACCAACATTGGCCGGGAGTTGAACACAGAGATGATGTACTGGCTCCTCTGAGTGGGGATACCAACATCAGCCGGGAGTTGAACACAGAGATGATGTATTGGCCCCTCTGAGTGGGGATACCAACATCAGCTGGGAGGTTTAACACAGAGATGATGTACTGGCTCCTCTGAGTGGGGATACTAACATTAGCTCGGAGTTGAACACAGAGATGATGTACTGGCTCCTCTGAGTGGGGATACCAACATCAGCTGGGAGTTGAACACAGAGATGATTTATTGGCTCCTCTGAGTGGGATACCAACATCAGCTGGGAGTTGAATACAGAGATGATGTACTGGCTCCTCTGAGTGGAAGAAAACTTGAAAGCTGTTTGGAGCCGGGAATTGAGCTAGCATTGAGGATTACATCAACCACCAGCCAGGTCACTGGTTTGTGAGTGGAGACTGAATCGAGCCAGCAGAGCTATGGGGACACTACTGGGTCCCAGAATAGCTAATAGGACTGCACTGTATCTCAGGATAGCTGTCAGGAGTGCACGTGATCTCAGAATAGCTAATGGGACTGCACTGTATCTCAGGATAGCTGTCAGTACTGGGTCTCAGAATAGCTAATGAGACTGCACTGTATCTCAGGATAGCTGTCCGGAGTGCACGGGATCTCAGAATAGCTAATGGGACTGCACTGTATCTCAGGATAGCTGTCTGGAGTGCACGGGATCTCAGAATAGCTAATGGGACTGCACTGTATCTCAGGACAGCTGTCCGGAGTGCATGGGATCTCAGAAAAGCTATTGGGACTGCACTGTATCTCAGGACAGCTGTCGGGACTGCACTGGGTCTCAGAAAAGCTATTGGGACTGCATTGTATCTCAGGGTAGCTGTTCGGAGTGCATGGGATCTCATGGGATGGGATGCATCTTGACTTTTACAGTCAGTTAACTCTCATACCTCAGGGAGCATAACACCAGATGAAGATCCAAGAAATCATTCGATACGTAAAATCTATAGCGGGAGTCCATATTGGCTCACTAGTGTTAGATCTTATCAATGTCTTATCTTATCTAAGTCACACTGGTACAATAAACTGTCTAATTCTCAATCTCAATAGATCTACACTGATGCCCATTTTGCTGCAGTGGAGTGAGTAGTACTGTACAGCTTCTTTATCATTGATATATACAATATTTGTCAGCTCACTAATTTAAAAATTGTATTTAAACCACTTGTCACTGCTTGAACAAACTTTGGTGTCATAATTGATGGGAACATGTATGTGAAATTTCAGCTTCATTGGTCCATTGGTTTTTGAGATGATGTTTTCAGACCCTAGGGAGCATTTCAGAGAATTAAGAACAAGCTTGAAGTGCACAGGTCAAATCAAGGTTAAAATTTAGATATTACACAAATGGAAAGTATAAGATGAGCCCCACTACAAAGTACACATATAAACAACTCAAAAGAAGTTACGGAACATCCAATGTTTTCATGACTATACTCAAAGTGTCATGGTAGGTGGGTATTGCAACACAGCCATCCAATAGTGGGTGTTCTTTAACTTCTTTTGAGTAGTATATACATTTTATTACATTGTGAACAACAAAGGCTGATTAATGTTTTTCTCAATACTGCTACCTTGGGGACATGTTGAAAATTAGATTCTAAACTCCACAACAAATACAAGCATCATCATTGGTAGGAAATATGTTTCAGCTTCATTGGCCTGGTGGTTTCTGAGGAGAAGAATTCATATCACTACCTATGCTGTCAGACCCTGGACATGACATAAGCTCACTTGACTGTCATTCAGAACTACATCCGAGCGCAGAATGTCTACACTTGAGTTTATCAATACAAAATAGATGATAAAAATAGGAAAGTCTAACTCACAAACAACATTTAATTGTTCTTATTTTCTTTAAACAGAGACACTTGTTGTTTAATGAAAGATTTCATAAAACCGGTTTGTCTAAATAATTGGTGTGACAAACTACTGAGCATTGGACAGAAAATGACATACCTTTCCTTGTCCCCTTTGTACACTGACATTCTTGCAGGAGATCTTGTTGCTGTCAAACTGATCTGCAAATATGGAATGAAGTAGACATCATTTGCATAAATAATTCACATTATCATGATCATGATACAAACGTAAACAGACACTTCATCTTTTTCCTTTGATGCACCAAAACTTATTGTGTATCAAAGCATCATGGGCATGCCTCCAGCTCAACAAACAAAAAGGCTGTACTGTCTATGGACAATATTTCTGTTTGTTGCAAGTAGGACTTCAAACAGAAAGTCCCAAGTGTCTTACATGTTGAGATAGTACTGGCACTTAGTGCCAAATGATTATATCCTTCTTAAAACTGAATCAATACATTTCTTTGTCCAATGAACTATGTTTTTGATAGGGTCTCTCATGGCCTTCACCTTTTACAAACTGAAACCCAGATGTTTCCCATCAGAAAGCTGAACAATGCCAAGATGAGTACAAGGTACCTTGTATGTCAAGTTGAGGTGAAATCTCACCACAATTATGTTTTTGTTGTAACATTTAGTGGATATTTCATAATCAGCAAACATCATCTTCAATTTGAACCAATAAGATGACAGGAATAAAGTCGCAGACATTGATGCTCTAACAAATAGGTAATACTACCACATGTGAATAGGTAATACTACCATATGTGAATAGATAATACTAACACATGTTTTGTTTGTTGTTTAAAGCCACACTCAGCAATATTCCAGCTATATGACGGCGGTCTGTAAATAATTGAGTCTGGACCATACAATCCAGTGATTGACATCATGAGCAACTGGGACCGATGACATGCATGAACCAAGTCTGCGAGCCTGACCAACTGATCCCGTTATAACCTTGCAAAGTCGCCTTTTACGGCAAGCATGGGTTGCTGAAAACCTATTCTACCCCGGTTCTTCACGGGTGATGTAAATAGGTAACACTACCACATGTGAATATGTAATACTACCACATGTAAATAGGTTATACTACCACATGTAAATAGATAATACTACCACATGTGAATTTGTAATACTACCACATGTAAATAGGTAATACTACCACATGTATTTACTACCACATGTGAATAGGTAATACTACCACATGTGAATAAGTAATACTACCACATGTAAATAGGTGATACTACCACATGTGAATATGTAATACTACCACATGTAAATAGGTTATACTACCACATGTAAAAAAGTAATACTACCTCATGTGAATATGTAATACTACCACATGAAAAAAGGAATACTACCACATGTGAATATGTAATACTACCACATGTAAATAGGTAATACTACCACATGTAAATAGGTTATACTACCACATGTAAAAAAGTAATACTACCACATGTGAATATGTAATACTACCACATGTAAATAGGTAATACTACCACATGTGAATAGGTAATACTACCACATGTAAAAAGGTAATACTACCACATGTAAATAGGTAATACTACCACATGTGAATAGGTAATACTACCACATGTAAATAGGTAATACTACCACATGTGAATAGGTAATACTACCACATGTAAATAGGTAATACCACCACATGTGAATATGTAATACTACCACATGTAAATAGGTAATACTACCACATATGAATAGGTAATACTACCACATGTAAATAGGTAATACTACCACATGTGAATAGGTAATACTACCACATGTAAATAGGTAATACTACCACATGTGAATAGGTAATACTACCACATGTAAATAGGTAATACTACCACATGTAAATAGGTTATACTACCACATGTGAATAGGTAATACTACCACATGTGAATATGTGATACTACCACATGTAATTAGGTAATACTACCACATGTAAATAGGTAATACTACCACATGTGAATAGGTAATACTACCACATGTAAATAGGTAATACTACCACATGTAAATAGGTAATATTACCACATGTAAATAGGTTATACTACCACATGTAAATAGGTAATACTACCACATGTGAATATGTAATATTACCACATGTAAATAGATAATACTACCACATGTAAATAGGTTATACTACCACATGTAAATAGGTAATACTACCACATGTGAATATGTAATACTACCACATGTGAATATGTAATACTACCACATGTAAATAGGTAATACAACCACATATGAATTGGTTATACTACCACATGTAAATAGGTAATACTACCACATGTGAATAGGTAATACTACCACATGTAAATAGGTAATACTACCACATGTGAATAGGTAATACTACCACATGTGAATATGTAATACTACCACATGTAAATAGGTAATACTACCACATGTAAATAGGTTATACTACCACATGTAAAAAAGTAATACTACCACATGTGAATATGTAATACTACCACATGTGAATATGTAATACTACTACATGTAAATAGGTAATACTACCACATGTGAATATGTAATACTACAACATGTAAATGGGTAATACTACCACATGTAAATAGGTAATACTACTACATGTAAATAGGTAATACTACCACATGTGAATATGTAATACTACAACATGTAAATAGGTAATACTACCACATGTAAATAGGTAATACTACCACATGTGAATATGTAATACTACAACATGTGAATGATCTAATACTACCACATGTGAATTGCTAATACCACCACATGTGAATAGGTAATACTACCGCATGTGAATAGGTTTGTTTGTTGTTTAATGCTGCACTCAGCAATATTCAAGCTATATAATGGTGGTCTGGAAAATTATCGAGTCTGGACCAGACAATCCAGTGGGCGACATCATGAGCATCAATCCACACAATTGAGATCTATGACATGCATCAATTAAGTCAGCGAGCCTGACCACCCGATCCTGTTAGTCACCTCTTACAACTAGCATGTAAATAGGTAATACTACCACATGTGAATAGATAATATTACCACATGTGAATTACCTAATACTACCACATACAATATAGGTTGGTTGGTTGGTTTGTTTGTTGTTTTATGCCGCACTCAGCAATATTCCAGCTATATGACGGTGGTCAGTAAAAAATCGACCTGAAATAATCGTCTGGACCTGACAATCCAGTGATTGACATCCAAGCAATTGGGATCGATGACATGCATCAACCAAGATCCCGTTAGTCGCCTTTTACGGCAAGCATAGTCACCTTTTACAGCAAGCATACTACTCATAAGGGAAGCCGGTGGGTACTAAATGTTCTTGTGAATTACAATTTTTTCTGTAAATAATAAACTTGTCTTTTCATTGCTCGCCAGAACTACTTTTCATTTGTTTGTTCTTTCAGTCTCACATGGAATTAGATGTGGCATAATTCTAGATTAAATATTCCGTGTCTCGAACACATGACTCTGGCAGTGAAATGCTACAATACTAAAAACAATACAATCCTACAAAGTGCGCAGTTACTTCCCTTTTCATGCGCACTACTTTACTGCGCATCTCATGTGTTATGGCCATGGTGGCAAAATAGAGTTTGTGTGCTTGTCTTGCGGTTTGCAAATTTGGTCAATGAAAGCATGATATTTACGATAAGACATCACCAGACATGATGATTTACAAATTCAATGGTATATGAAAACTGTCTGCCGCCAATGTTTTGTACAGAGATATTGAGATTACATGTGTATTTGTCTTGTAAAAATAAGCCGGAAATAGTAATTAGCTGTTTCACATTTTCTCCCCTATTTTAATATAATATATCATTACTGAAAAGAAATTTGAATAGTGATAGAAAGAAGACCGAAGACTTTGTATCTCTAACAACTAATGTTCGTTTTAAGGTGACTTCATGGTGAGTTCATGTCATTTTATACACAATTTCGCCAAATATAATGTAAACAAAACTGAATGAAATCTTGGATCAATGTAATATAATGGATAACTGAGAGATAGAGTTGTCGCCCCTGATGTGTGGAAGTGGGAGTGCGAGCTCGCAACAAAAAACCGAATTATCAGTTCAATTATTCGTTTGTGTCATCCTACATTCATCTAAAAGTTCCGTTGTGCACCAGAGAGCTAATTAACCCCTGCAATGGGCATTGGAACAGAGCTTTGGCGAGCCCGTATCAGCAACTTCGCACAACCATGTGGGAAGGGTGGACAACGCCATCTTGGTCATTATACCCCATAACACAACATGGACAGACGACCTCGAGCTTCGGTATCGAATTGTGTGCACAGTGCTAATCTTGTTAAGCATATCAGGAGTTGCTGCAACAGTGTATCAAACCAGTTGTGAGGCTGTTCTGTCACATGGCAAGGTATGCATTGGCCCCACATTGCACGGACTCCCTCGGCTAATTGCCAGATGCGTTGAGAAGGTAAACTATGAGTTTGAACAATTTGCTAGTAGCATTTTTCTCACTTTGTGTGGCGATATAGAAGTAAACCCAGGCCCAAATGATAGCGATAAAAATCTAGATACACAGAAGCTACAACGAGAACTTTTGTCAGAAATTAGAGCGATGAAGACTGATATATCTAGCATGTCGAAAGAAATTAAAGGACTACGGTCCGATACCAACAAAGTGAATGATTCACTTTGTGAGATTAAATCGGACTCAGAATGTCTAAAATCATCATATGATATTATGAGACTTGATATTGACGATGTGGCTGGAAGATTTGACAGACTTGAAGACAGGTCACGTGACGAAAGTGTTATTAGTGAATTGAAAGATGTGCAAGAGAGATTTGATTATGTTGAGAACGAACTGGATAAACAGGAACAACACAGCAGAAAGAACAACGTGATACTGTATGGCATGTCAGAGATGCCCCATGAATCTACATCACAGTGCAAGGAAATGGTGTGTGAAGTATTAAATAATAATTCTAAATCAGGTGATCCACAAATCAATCATGATTCCATTGCAGCAGCGCACAGATTAGGATCTGTGAGTTCCGGATCAGCAAGCAAGTCTCCTCGGCCAATGATTGCTAAGTTCATTTATGTAGAGCACAAGGTTTGGGCCTTAAAATCTTAGAAAGAATCTCATCGGTATTTCTAATGACCTTGCCATGAAACAGCGTAATGTGCTAAAGAAGCTCA